CAATGTCGGAAAATGGAATTCCGCACCATCCTTCGCTCTTCAATCTGGACTACTACCATCCTCACCGGCAGTTCCTCCCGATCTAACGCTTCTGAACTTTGTTGACGCTTCTCTTCTCTCTAAGCTGGAACTCCCAACATTCGATGGAAATCTTCTCGACTACCAAGAGTTCTGGGCACGTTTCGTTACGCGGTGGACAACAAGCCGCAGCTGGACGATACCACGAAATTTTCTCTACTAAAATCCTGCTTGCGAGGTCGTGCACTTCAATCCATCCAAGGACTATCTCTGACAGCTGCAAACTATAGAATCGCCGTTGACATCCTCAAAACCCACTATGACGACAAAGTCACTATGAAACATATACTCTTCACCAAGCTGGCTCAGCTCCCAGCATGCGATCCCGAAGGTCGTCAGCTACCTACTCTCTACAATCGTATGTTCTCTCTCGTTCGTCAATTTTGTAACGGCGGTGATGACTCCAAGGAAACTGCTCTTGGTGCTCTGCTTCTCAACAACCTCCCCGTTCGTGTTCGAAGTCAGATCTACGATAGAACTTCAAATAGTCACAACGTGACCCCCAGCGAGCTTCTTCACCTCCTCACCGACATCGTTAGAAAGGATTCTACTCTCTTCGAAATTGAATTCCATACTCGCAGAAGTATCGAAGCAAGGAATGTCGACTACGGTTTCCACTCCAGTACCCGTTCGGTGCGTCCTTCCTCAAACAGCACCATTACTCGATCGACCGAGAAACAGCACAATTTGAGGAAAACGGGAAAAAGCTGTCCTTATTGCGAATCCGCTTTTCATGGCGCAATGGACTGCAATGTTTTCACCACGATGAAACAACGATGGGTTCAAACAAAAGTTCTCCGCCCATGTCACAATTGTCTTGTCAATTATCTCCCAGCTCATATCCCAAGAGAATGCCCTTCAGAATATTCATGCCGATACTGTTCACAAAGTCATCACTCGTCACTATGTCGACAATTCGAACATCAACCACCGCTTTGAAACCTACCATCACGTCTTTCTTCAACGACAACGAATAACCAAGCAAAAAACGACCAACAACAGCACTTCCCTCCTTCAAAGCTTAACTCTCACACAATCAGCGCAGAACCAACTCCAGAACGTGCTCCTGTCGCTGGTGTCAGTGAACGCATGAAACAAGATGCAACCAATCCAGTCGCCATAACTT